GACCCTTTCTGACATCTCAGGACAGAATGCTAGGGACCTCAGAGCCCCCAGGTAACTGAGCTATCCATGTCTGAGTGCTGCCTCACATCACTCTGATCACTAGCTCTTTCAAGGCTTCCAACATCCCCACCTTTCTGGGGAAGGCTTTATGGGGCTTTCTGACCTTCCTGTGACTCTTTCTGCCTCTGGATATAGAACCTTGCAGGCTATACAAATCTCTGGCCCACCACTAGTCACATTGGATTTGTTAGCTTGAAGTGGAGCTGGTTTTGCTGTTGCTTTCCTATTATCCATGGGCTTCTGACTGAATTTTTTGTGCAGTTTTGTCATGGCATAATTAATTTATGGTAATTTATCATTGAATTTTTAAATTATCATTTGTTCTGATGCAAATTTCAGGTTTTTGTTGAAGTGTAATATTGGAGCTGGACGGCCTGCCTTCCACAAAGTAGTAATCTTGCCACCTATCTCAAACGGGCAAAGTACTTCCATCTATCACAGAATAGCTAGGGAAAAGACATTTTTGCCTAATGAATTTAGCATTACTTTAGGAACACATTTCTATTCTTTCTGTTCTTTCATTCCAGCCTTACCTTCTACTCTACTGATCTTGATCAAGATTTAGACATGATCTTGCTGTTGGCACCCCGTATGCTACTCAGAGATCATCTATTCTATCTTTTTATGAAAATGCTTTTCAGGAAGTACAAATAATGAGGTGAAGTCTATATTTGTTCAGAACATAAATGATGAATTTAAAACTGGCGATGTTACATCAACAGACCATGATTTACTATCATGTGACTGAAGAAGAGAGATATGAAGTTGATCAACTTCAGAGTTTGAGGAATTTAGTCAGAATAGACTCCCCTCATTAAAATTTGTAGTAATTGTGAGGAAAATAAAATGTTGCTTTGATTTCAGAGGTTAAAGTGAATAGAGCAATTGTAAGAAGCAATACAGGATGACTAGAAAAGAATTCAATTAAGGTGCATAAAGCAGACCTCACGAGCAGAGGGTGCAGAGTCAGTCTAGGAAGGGATTTGTTCTATGTAAAGTAGTGAGCCCAACTGTAGAATACTCCCTACATATTGGGACCTTGATATTGTAGATGCAGATAGTTCAAGAAATTTTCCAAAATGTAGTTGCAACTGCCTTCTACCTTGGTAATGGTTCTTTCTGTCTCTAAGATTTAAAATTATTTACATACAGTAGTTCATGAATTCATCACAAATTGATTCATTGTGCCCCCACCCAACTCTGGAAAATCTTCTAATAGAGCTAATCTTATTTTCCATTAAGATTCTAATCTCCTTTCCAAATTTGCATGACCCAAAAAGAAAACATACTCCCACAATAAATTAAAATACATGCAATTTACTGAATTAAACCAAAATTAAATGGAGTACGAAAACTCCAAGTGACTGTGCCTTGCTTAAGTAAAAGATCTGTTATCTACATTTCCCAGAGGCAGCATCTGCCAGGATTAAGAGCTGAGTTCAATTTTAATGTTACCATAGGAACCAGAGTATGAGATTTCCAAATGCTGGTGATCTACCCATTTTCTAGTAGAATCTGAACTAATTTCTTCCCTGCTTCCATTTTTAAAAATTAATTTACTTTGATTTATCAACAATCACTTCTGCTTCCAATTTTTAACACCTGTATTCAGGTGAGCCTAAATATTTTTTTTTTCATTAGGGGAATGCTTCCTGAATAATCACAGTTAAAATCTCAAGAAGGAAAGAAAGGAATCAATTCACCATTTTCCATTGTAGTTCCCATGGGTTGGGGTCTCATAAATCATTACTGCAAGTTCACTATCCAAGCTGTGTCTCGGAGTTTCTCATCAAGGAGACTGTTCTGGCCAGTAGTTCCCAGGCTGATAGCATTGACTCATTGGTAACTAACAATTTTGGAGAGAGATGAAGAGTGATGCATTTCTCTGTTTGTTTGGCAGGACAACCTCTACCTACTACACTCTACTGTCCATGTGGATTCCCTCTGACCTGGTTGTGACAACAAACCGGTCAGCTGTGCTTTTAAAAGTCTTGGTGTGCACCGCAATTAGCCACAGTGTCCTGTACCATTTACCTCCTGATTCCTTGAGTCTTTGGTCCCTAGAATGTGTGCGTCTAGGAAGAAACTGGAGCAATATGAAACAGAAGCCCACCTGCATAAACAAGGACCACATGAGTACTTGGGGGAATAAATTGTTCTGGATGCTTAAGATTTCCATGTAGCTGAAGATTCACCTCTTTGAGGACTACATCTTTTAAGAATTTCATCATTTTATACGGAAATATTTTTGTAATACATTATTTTTTCCTGCCTTTAAAAATTAATTTTGTTGATATATTTTGCTTTTACATAATCTACATTTCCCCATAAATCCTCTCCACACCCCAACCATACCTCATAGCAAAAAAATTTTAAAGGGGACATTTCAGCAAAACTAATCAATATATCTAAAATGCCTGATTTTATATGCAGTATTCCACACCCACAGAGAGCTTCATTTTCATGTCTCTTCTTTGGGGCCAAGCTTGGTATTATAATTAGCAGCACTCAGTTAAAAAAAAGATTTTTATTAATATCTTTTATTTTTACACGATGTACATTTCTCACTGCAGCCCTCTTAGAGAGTCTTCTCTTACAATAAGGAACTAAAAAGAGAGAAAGAAAAAAAAAGTTCCATAAAACTAAACAACATTTTATAAAAAAAAATCTGATGCCATATGCAATGTTCCATGTCCATAGTTCTCTACCTCTGAAAAGAAGCAAATGGAGATAGCTTCTCACAACTCTTTCTGGGAACTAAACTTGGTTATTAATTGCAGCATTCAGTTTTGATTGTTTCTTTGTCATGCTCTTCATTTACACTGTTGCACTCATTGCAAAATATTTTTTTCTGATTCTGCTTACTTCACTTTATTTTTAATCAATTTTTAAATATTTTATTTTTTCCAATTACATGTAAAAACAATTTTAACGTTTATTTTTTTTAAAAAATTGAGTTTGAAATTCTCTCCCTCCCTTCCCTCTTCCCTCCTTGAGAAGGCAAGCAATTTAATATAGTTGATACATGTACAGTCAGGCAAAACATTTCCACATTAGCCATGTTGTGAAAGAAAACAGATTGAAGAAAGAAAGAAAATAAAAAAAATTATGCTTCAATCTCAGACTCTATCAGCTCTGTCTTTGGAAATGGATAGCATTTTTTACTCTGAGTCCTTTGGAATTATCCTTAGATCATTGTATTGCTGAGAATAGCTAAGTCATTCACAGTTGACAATCATACAATATTGCTGTTATTGTGTACAATGATCTGGTTCTGCTCACTTTACTCTGCATGAGTTCATATATTTCCCCAGGTTTTTCTGTAAAAAATCCTCTTCATAGCCTTTCTTATAGCACTATAGTATTCCATCACAATCACATACCACAACTTGTTCAGCCATTCCACAATTGATGGGCATCCCTTCAATTTCCAATTCTTTGCCACCACTAAAAGAACTGTTATAAATATTTTTATACAAATAGGTCCTTTTTCTTTTTTTTTCCTTTTTTCTGATCTCTTTGGGATACAGACCTAGCGGCAGTATTTCTAGGTCAAAGGGTATGCATAGTGTGATAGCCTTTTGCGTATAGTTCCAAATTACTCTCCAGAATGATTGGATCAGTTAGCTACTCCACCAACAACGCATTAGTGTCCCAATTTTTCCACATCTCTTCCAACATTGGTCATTTTCTTTTTCTATCATATTAGGCAATCTCATAAGTATGAGGTGGTACTTCAGAGTTGTTTTACTTCGCATTTTTCTAATCAATAACGATTTAGAGCATTTTTTCATATGACTATATACAGCTTTGATTTCTTCTTCTGAAAACTTCCTGTTCATATCCTTTGACCATTTATCAAATGGGGAATCAATTATATTTTTATAAGTCTGACTCAATTCTCTATATTTGAGAAATAAGGTATTTATCAGAGAAACTTACTATAACATTTTCCCTGGGTTTTCTACTTTTCTTCTAATCCTAGCTGCATTGATTTTGTTTACACAAAAGTTTTTTAATTTGATGTAATCAATACTATCTATTTTACTTCCTGTCACCTTCTCTATCTCTTGTTTGGTTATAAACTCTTCCTTTATCCATAGATCTAAAAGGTACATTTTTCCATGCTCCCCTAGTTTACTTATGGTGTCACCCTTTATTTCTAATTCATGTACCCATTTTGACCTTATCTTGATATACAGTTGATGAGATATTGACCTATAACTAATTTCTGACAAACTGCTTTCCTGTTTTTCCAAGCAATTTTTGCCAAATAGTGAGTTCTAGTCCCAAAAGTTTGACTCTTTGCATTTATCAAACACTAGATTACGATAGTAATTTACTACTGTGTGCCTAATCTATTCCACTGATCCACCACTCTTATCTCTTACTCAGTACCAGATTATTTTGATGATTACCACTTTCTAATACAGTTTGAGATTTGGTATTGCTAGACCACCTTCCTTTTTTTTTTTTTATTGATTCCTTTGATATTCTTGACCTTTTGTTCTTCTAGATGAATTATGTCATTTTTCCTAGCTCCATAAAATAATTTTTTGGTAGTTTGAATGTTATGGCACTGAATAAGTAAATTAATTTAGGTAGATTTGTCTTTTTTATTCTATTGGCTCAGCCTACACATGAGCAATAATATTTCTCCAGTTGTTTAGATCTGACTTTATTTGTGTGAAAAGCGTTTTGTAATAGTGTTCTTGTAGTTCCTGGGTTTGTCTTGGCAGGTAGACTCCCAAGTATTTTATATTATCTGCAATTAATTTAAATGGCATTTCTCTTTCTATCTCTTCCTGCTAGGTTTTGTTGGTAATATACAGAAATGCTAGTGATTTATGTGGGTTCATTTTATATCCTGCAACTTTGCTGAAGTTGTTAATTATTTCTCCTAGTTTTTTACTTGACTCTTTAGGATTCTTTAAGTACACAAAAATATGGAATGCTTCATGAATTTGCATGTGATCCTTGTGCAGGAAGCACATTAATCTTCTCTGCATCATTCAAACTTGAGTATACGTGCTGCTGAAGCAAGCCCCTTACTTCACTTTATTTTGTTCACATGTCTTCCTGTGCTTCTTAGTAGTCACTATGTTTATCATTTCTTACAGTGAAGTAATATTCCAAAGGGGATGGCCCTTGAAAACCTCTGCATGCTGGTAGTGCCTCTGAGAAATGTATCTCTAGAGGTCAGGAGATAGGGAGTCCTTCCTTTCTGACTATTAAAAATGCACCTCTGCAGCAAGGTTTGGATGAAGACTATATTGGGAGCCAAATGTTGCAAATATTTTTATTATTTAGTCCTTGATCCTCTAGAGTGTGTGTGCATGGGAAGGGGGGATAGTTGTTATTTGGTCATTTTAAAACTGGTTGGTTGGTTTTCATTCTTCATTCTCGAAGAGGTCCAAAATAGCATCACTATTTTGGGGTCAAGATACAGAGTGTCCAACTGTGGCTGATCAGACCAGTATGAGCTCAGAAGACTCTACCACACGTTGGGCACAAATGGTCCATATGAATATTTGGAGTGGAGATGTCTCTAAATATGCTCTATGAGCAAAGCAGAACTGCAGTAGCTCAGAAGACATGTGAGATGCATAATCTTAAAAATGAACAATTTGAAAGAGTAGGCTTTGATATCTAAAGAGGGTATTTAATTTTAATAATTTTATAGCTTCAGTTACTACTTTTGGGTTTTCCTTTTTAGGTTATGTGGACCCACTGTACAACATATAATTATTGTTTTTATATAGCAAATGTTTGTGATCCCCAGACTTTTCTGTAGGTTCAGTCTATGGAAAGGGGTCCAGGGGCTCTTGTTCTTATTCACATAACCCTATGTGTTGAAGACAATATTAGCCATATTTTTGGTTCAGAATATGTGTAAGACTTAAAAATTTAGGGTGTCTTTGAGATTAAATCCAATACATTATGGTTTAATAGTGCTATTTCAAAGAAATTATTGATGTCTGAGGTCACATTTGAACTCAGGGTTTTCCTGAATCTAGGCCCAGCACTCTGTCCACTGCACCACCTAAACATATTTTAAAAAAATCTTTACTATTATAACAAATACCTAAAAGTATTAAAAACAACCTTAATACCTTTTGGTGGCCCAGTGGATAGAGTGTTGGGCCTAGATTCAGGAAGGGATGAGCAGCTGCTGCAGATCTCAGGTATGTTCAAGGATAGGCAGGAGACCCAAAACCATAATGGAAATGCCATTGTTTAATTACAAAAGAATAGAATCTATTTTCATTCTCTAACTGCTGGATTCAAATCTCACCTCTGCCACTTGCTTGCGGTGTGACCTTGAAGTTGAAGAAAAGAAAATAATACCAATCATGTACTCTTCAATTTAGGCTCAAATCTTCCAGAAACAATTTTATTTAACTTATCATTAATTTATATCCAAGTCATTTCTAGCTTGGAGAGAGAGCAATCCAAACTGTCCCCAAATAGTTCCCCCTGTCTTCTGATATCATTCTCTGCCCCAAGACAATTTGATGTAACATTTACAAGAATCTTGAACAATAAAAAAAGAAAAAAATCATAACATGGCATAGTGGATAGCGTGCTGGGCCTAGACTCAGGAAGACATCTTCCTGAGTTCAAATCTGGCCTCAGACACTTACTAGCTATGTGATCTTGGGCAAGACACTTAACTCTGTTTGCCTCAATTTCCTCATTTGTAAAATGAGCTGGAGAAGGAAAAGGCAAAAGACCTATGCTACAAAGAGATAAAAGAGGAAAGGGTCCTATGTGTACAAAAATATTTGTATCAACTCTTTTCATGGTGGCAAAGAACTGGAATCTATTGGGGAGGGTATGCCTATCAAGTAGGGAATAATTAAATTATGTCATATGAATATAATGGAATATCATTATGTCATAAGAAACAGTGAAGGGTATGGTTTCAGAGACACCTGCAAAGACTTGTAAGAAGAATAAAGTGGGCAGAATGAAAACAACGTATGTATAAAAACAACAATGTAAAATTCAATGATTTTCAAAGACTTAAGAACTCTATTCAAAGCAATGATCAACCATAATTCCAGAGGACTAGTGATGAAGAATGTTACTCATCTCCTGACGGAGAGGTGATAGACTATATACAGAACAAAGGATATATTTCTGGACATGGCCAATATGGGGATTTGTTTTACTTGACTTTGAATATTAGTTATAAAAGTTTCGTTTTTCCTTTTTTTTTCCAATGGGTAGGGGGAGTTGGGTGGAAGGAAAAAAATCAAATGCTTGATATTAAATAAATAAAATATAATTAAAAATAAAACACAATAAAGCAAAAATTAAATCACAGCATACTTTATACTCTGTGATTTCAGTGCAAAAGCATAGAGGAGGTTGGTGGAAACTATGTTTAAATATATGGCCCAGAATCAAGAAATGAAAGTGGCCAAAGACTTGTAGACAAAAAACCAAACAAACAAACTTCACGCCTAGCTACTTAACGTGGTAAGCACCAAAAATGAAGTTTCAACTAACAGAAAGCAATTGGTTAATAAAAAAAGTCATTTCTGAATCAACTGTCTATATAAAGTCAGACATTGGCTTTTTGTAAATGCATGCATGGGTGTTGGGAGGGATGCAAATATTAAATAATATGTGGGTCCTGTCCTCACCAAATTTATAGTATACTAGGGAGATAAGATACAAACACAGATAATCGTAGCATATATATTACAAAAAATGCACTCAAAAGTTCACAGGACTATTGAGCATAGATTTAGTGAGAGTCATATAGCCTAACTCTCTCACTTTTCAGACCAGGAAATTAAGGTCTGTGAAGATTAAGTGACTTTCCCAAGGGAATAAAGTTAGTAAGTGGAAGAGCTAGGACTTGAATCCAAGACCTCCAACTCCACATCCAGTGCTCTTACCATTGTACCACACTGAGGTACAACAGAATTTTGGGCTTTTAGAGCAAAGGTCAAAATTAATGCCAGATTAGAAGAAAGGATAAAAAGGAGAAACTGATATAGCATGCAATAAAAATAAGTCCAACCAGAATATTTAAATAAGCCATTGATGTTGAAAAATGGTAAATGGATAAAGGGATAGATATTGATAGAGATTACCATTATTTTCTAAGTAAGTTTAACTAAGGTAAACTAATCACTACAATAAAGAGACTAAAATTATCTAGAAACTACTACAACTGGTAAATATTTAATCTTATTGCCAAAAAGAAAGATAACTAGCCAAGGACAACATAAATTTACAAAATTAACTCATTTATATAATCTTACGAAAGAAGATTGTGGAACATTATGTATATCACAAAACATCAAGACTCAGTGTGTATAGGGGGAAAAAGTATAAAAGAGACCCACTTAAGCCAAATCATCCTGAGAGTACTTCATGATATAACTAGGCCAGACAAAAGAATGGAAAATGTGTGTTTTGTACGACAAACTATTTTCTTGATCAATGACAGTAGAGGTACTACATTTTGATTCTAATATCTAGTGTTAGTCTTGATATAGTGGAGGAAGAAATAGAAAAGGAACTAAAAAATGGGAAAGTCTAACCATATCAAGTATGCATGGAGGGGTCTTTCCTGGAGGTGATACAATTTTTTGAAAGCCAAGAAGATCAGTTAAGAGGTTATTATGATAATCTTGGCAAGAAGTATATGAATCAGGGATAGTGGCCACAACTAAAGAGAAGGGGGCGGTTGAGAGAGATGTTGTGGAAATGGAATCAATAGGACTTGGTATCTGATTGGATATAAGGGATGAGGGAGAGGGAAGAATCCAAGATGATCCTTAGGTTTTTAGACTAAAGGACTAAGAAGATAATGGTGCCCTTGACAGAAATAGGAAGTTGAGAAGAAGGGCAGATTTGCAGGAAAGATGGTGAGTTCAGTTTTAGAAGTGTTGAGTATGAGGAGTATGTGGAAATCCAGGTTTAGATGTCTAGAAGATATTTGAAGATGTGGGTTCTGGAGAGAAATTAGGGCTGGTTAGAAAGATCTGAGACTTAATAATGTAGACATGATAATTGATGTCATGGGAATGACTGTGATCACCCAAAGGGAGTACAGAGACAGGAGAGAAGAAGGCCCAGGACACAGTCTAGGGTGGAAGGAAGAAGATGGCCTAGCAAAGAAGACTGAGGACTAATCAGAGAGGAAGAAAAAGAACTTCTCAAAGAAGAATTCATAGGAGAAAGTTGTGTCTTAGAAGCTAAAAGAGAAAAAAAGTGTTCAAGAGGAGTTGGTCAACCATAAATAATGTTGATGAAATGTCAAGAAGAAGAAAAGCCGAGAAAAGGTCATCAGATTTCACATTTGTGGGATACTTGTGTCTTTGGGACACATCCATATCTGTAAGGACACTGCCTGGATTAAATCTCCCAAAAGTCTATATGGACAAAGAAAGTATTCATTGGGAGAAGGTCCTGAACAGGATATGCCTTCCCAGGAAAACATTCATGAGTTTGATATGAGAAACCCTGTATCTACATGTGAGAGATAGGAAGTCTTAATCAAAGAGAAGAAAAAGGGGGAGAGGAAAATAAATAGCTACTATGGTAGTGTGCCCTACAAATCATCTCTTAACTAGCTAGGATATTGTAATCATTGGATCAAGTGAGATAATATATGTAAAGCATTTTGCAAACCTTAAAGCACTATACAAATGCTAGCTATTTATTATTAATAATAAATTTCCTATTACTACTGAATCCAGACTCATTGTTTCTGATGGGGGATGGTGGGGAGAAACAAACGGTCTAGGGGAGAGCAGAGACTGTAGAACCATCCTATGGGATAGTCAAGCTTCCTATGACCATGGTGTGGGGGCCAGTATATCCCAAAAATTTTATCAAAATTTTCTACTACCCTCCATAAGTGGCTGAGCTATTTCTTCTCCCACAGTATTAGGAGATTATTAGAGATATTAGTGGTTAAAGGAAATCTGCCTGGAATTCCCTGGTGAACTTAGGTTTTGGGGAGTGGGGAGAGGTCAGACCCCAGTCTGGGGTGTGGAGGAGGTACTTTCGTGGTTGAT